ATATGTATAGGCCTATATATATTTATATATAGATTTAAAGGCATATGAAAAAAAAACAGTCCGGAAATAATGCAATGAATAATATAAGTTGAAACGTAACAGAAGAGGAATCTGAACAAAGATCTGACCCCACCGGGACTCGAACCCGGGACCTTTCGCATACATGGAAAGCGGTATAACTACTTGATCATGAAGGCATTGTGGTGATTCAAGCACTAGGTAGAATCTGAATTCATTTTATTCTTTTAACGTGTCTCGTGTTACAATTTGATATAGCGCTAATATCACATGAGGCTAGACTGCCAGAAATCTATAAGATACGGTACGCCCTCTTTTGTACATTATTTTTAGCTTTCTGGATCTCGAATGAAATACTTGCATATATAAAATGCTTTAAAGCCATATGGGAATAAACCCCAGAAACAGCAAGCGGTATAATGCAATGAATAATATAAATGTGTGTATTATTATATGTATACTTGTTACACGCATTGTCTGTAGGTCTATGATGATGGGCATGAATTGATTACTTCATTTCTGGTCGTTTCAGATCCTTTTGTCAAAGTGTCCTTGCTGAGAGGTGGAAAGAAGGTGAGAAAGAAGAAAACGACAGTGAAGAGATCCACGTGCCACCCGGTGTGGAATGAAGCACTGACTTTTAATATTCCATCAGCTGAATTAAAAACGAATTATAACTTGGAGGTGATGCTTTATAATTCTGAGCTGCAATCGTCTTCCTATTGTCTCAATCTATGACAACCGTTTCCATGACTATAACTCTCCCAAATTAGATGCTAGATTGTCACGTTTAGCTTGCCACTATAAGTAATTGCTGCGTAAATTGAAATGAATATCTTTTAAATATTGGCAATATTTGTAAGAAGATTTTTCTTGCATAGTTAGGCCTATAATTTTACATTGTATGACGATTTAGTATTTTTAATTGTATATAACACGATTTATATGCCTAATAAATACGAATATTTAACATAAAAATCAATAATTAATTTTTATAGATTCAGGTATTAGACTATGATCTGGTAGGAAAGAACGATGTTGTTGGCTACGTCAAAGTTGGACCAGATTGTGTAGGGCCTGGCAAACAACACTGGAACGAGATGGTACAATCGGTGAGGCGACCCGTCGAGCTCTGGCACCCTTTACAAGATAGATGAACGTAGTGAAAAATATTTGACAAGACCAACACTGCTGCCAATGCATATAGATCGAATGCGTATGGTATAGAAAAACAACCATCTCGTAACCTCATATATTTATATCAGTACACACACACACCCAAGCA